AGTGGTAGTGGTATGGTAGTGGTAGTCGTAGTAGTAGTGGTAGTAAGTAGTGGCAGCAGCAGCAGCAGCAGCAGCAGTAGCAGTAGCAGTAGCAGTAGCAGTAGCAGCAGCAACAAAAGTAGTAGTGGCAGCTGCAGTTGTGGGGTAGTCAGCACCAGTCGCAGATGTAGTAGTAGTAGTAGTAGTAGTTGTTGTTGTTGTTGTCGTAGTAGTAGTTGTTGTTGTAATTGTAGTCATAGTTGCAGTCGTAGTGGTAGTCGTAATAGTAGTACTAGCAGCAGCAGCCGCCGCAGCAGCAGGAGGAGGAGGAGGATTAGTAGTAGTAGTAGTAGTAGTAGTAGCAGTAGTAGTAGCAGCAGTATTATCAGTAGCAGTAGCAGTAGCAGTAGTAGTAGTAGTAGTAGTACCAGCAGCAGCAGCAGTAATAGTAGTTGCAGCAGTTGTAGTGTGTTGCATTATGCAACGAGTGACATGTCTCCAGAGTTCGCGCACGACAGCCGCAGCTGTCGGCACGAGCTCAGGAAATTTGATAGGTGCGACGGTGCCGCAATGGCTTACTGCTCCGAGGCAGAACGTGTGCATGCGGTACAGCACCTTGAGGAATGGTCGGCCTTTTGTGGCTTCGACTATCATGAGATCTACGACAAAATGCTGGAAGGTGTCCGGCACGACATTCTTGAGCTCATTGCCATTTTGATGCCACGGGAGGGCGAGTACCTCTACGCCTTGCGCGATCTGCTGACATCTTTGAAGTGCGATGCCTCCGAATGCATCTTGTCAGGACAGGCACGCAAGGAATCCATCCCGATGCAGGAGATCCTGCGTCATGACCACGAGATCCTTCGCCGTCTTCGCACGCATTCTCAGGTCTTGACCTCGATTACCCTGGGTTTTGGAGCTGCTCGCGCCGGGCTCGTGTGGCTACAGACGCAGCATCGACTCGCTGACCAGGACAGGGTGTGGAGTCCGTTTTGAGCGCGTCGCTTCAGCAGCGACATGGTGTGTGCGATTTCCGGAATAGGTGCAGACATGTTTTCAGTGCTGGTCGAACTGTGGCTCGAGATGGCCTCAGAGTTGTGGGAGCGTTTGCGTTCTGTAGGGTTGCAGGAGCTTGCCCCGACCCTTTTCGACTTAGGGATTTTATCCACACGTGAGCTCCAACATGGGCGCGAGATTCTCCTTTCGGCCGGAGTGACTCCGTCACAGGTCGATCGATTGTTGGGCTGCGCAGATATTGCATCCAACGAGTCTCTAGCTGTGCCGACAGTTCGTTCTGATCTGCCTGTCATTCCTGTGCGGAAGCGTGCAAGCTTCGCGGCTTCTCTGCAAGCAGCCGCCCCGGATCAGCGGGCGACTAGCATTCGGAGGCTTCATGAAGGGTTCATGGCGGCCTCCAGCACGGGTCCTTTGGGCAGCCGTGTCAGGACCTGGCACGAGTGGTGTCGGGCTTGGGGCTGCACTGCCTTTCCGCTTGACCATCATAACGTGACCTGCTGCGCTGCTAGCATGAAGATGGGCTCGTATCGGAGCTGCGCACAGTACTTCAGTGCCGTGGTGAAGCATCAGGAGCGTGAACTTCGCCAGCCCGTGGGCGATTTGGTCCGAGGCCTCAATAGGGATTGCAAGCGCAGCATTCTGAGGGGCCTCGGCCCAGAGCAGTTGAAAGACTCTTTCGACGTTTGGGCTATGCGGAGCTTGCTGAGTAGATCCACTCAGGAGATTGCCCCTTGGGACGCGGGCGATGCTTTGGCCATGACAGATGTCTTGCTTTTGAGTGCGTGGTTCATGCTGCGCGAGGTGGAGCTTAGCAATCTGCGACGGGGCCACATGCGGTTGGTCGGCACTCAGGTTTCAATTCTGCTGGCAGTTTACAAGACAGATACACAGGGCTCCCTGACCGACAGGAGCCTAAAGTGCTGTTGCTCAGTTCAGCGGCACCTTTTCTGCCCATATCATGCTGCGTGTCGGCATTTGGATCGTCTGGCTCTGTTCGAGCAGCGCCTGGGGAAGGAAGCCACATTTCTGTGTCCGAATCAGGAGGGCACGGCTTTGACAAAGGCAGCCGTGGTCCAGGGTTTTCGGATGGTGCTTAGCTCTGCTGGTGTGCCTTTGACTCGCGACGACGAATCGGGACGACCCATGGCCCGATTCCACGGCCATTGTGCTCGTGTGAGCGGAGCTCAGTGGTTGATTGCATTAGGATTGGCTTTGCATTTGGTGATGCTTTTGGGCCGCTGGTCGAGTGCCGCTATTCACAAGTATGTTCAATCCACCCCGCTGCTGCAGCTGCCTGTTGCAACGAGCCAGGCCCTACATGGCGTCTCTACAGGACCGGCGGTCGAGCACGGCCCGATGGTTGCGACTTTAGCAGCCTCTTCCAGCGACGCCCAGCCACCCAGTTCTGCTGTATCGTCTTTGAGTCAGGATGTTTCTGCTCTTCAAGAGGAGGTGGCCTTTCTCAAGAAGGCGGCTCACGACCAGGCTGAGACACTCATCCGGTCGGTGCGGTCATTGCTGGTACACCGCCCGAAGGTTAATGAAAGAGTGAATCCTCCGAGAAAGTGGAAGACCATATGTGGCTGGCCGTACGGCCTTCGTAATTTCATGCGCATTCCTGTCGATGAGGCCCCTGAGGACAAGAAGTGCCAGAGATGTTGGAATCCGTCTGCCAGCGATAACAGCAGCTCTTCATCATCCTCGTCGTCAGGTTCCACCAACCTGTCGGCTGACGCAGAGAGTAGTTCTGAGGCTGACGCGTACGAGTAAGTGTTTTTCGCATCCTTATGGGTGCTCGGGACGAGGGGATGCAGCTTTGCACTGTTCGTTTTTGAGTCTTGGTGCCGCTTGTTGGTCAGACAATCCAGGAGCTCAGGTCCGTCCTTCGGTGTGAGAAAGAGCGTCTTGATTGAGAGGCTAGTAGATAGCCGCTGGGGTTCACGCGGGGGTCATAGCAGTGATCGCGGTTGCCATTGGCAGGACTTCATCGTCGTCCCGGTTCACTCCTCTCAGCTCTGCTCCATGGCGAAGGACCGGTGCGAGAGAGCCCAACGGAGTTTGGCCCTTGAGCCTTTCATGGACTGATAGCAGAGAGACATCTGCTGCGATCAGTGATATAGAAGTTTGGGACCGCGGCTGGCCCAAACGAGTTAGCATCCCCCGAGCGAGGGGGCATGCAGTTTTGTAACGCCCGTGAGGAAGCGGCGCAGACGACGTATCAAAAGACGTTCTCTGCAAGTGAGCCTCCCGACCTTGCACTTGTTCCTTGCCGGCATTCGTTTGCAGTCGGCATCATACCTTCAGTGCATCCGGAAGCTCGGGCCCAGCGGTTGAGAGTGCAGTGCATGTCAATCTTGCCAGGTTTGCACTTACGTGGGGTTGTCTTTCAGTTTCTTCAGGCTGTTCCACTTTGCATGCGATTGTTGTCTCCTGCGGGTCTGCATTAGTTTTCCTTTTCGGTGGCGTCCATGGCGGCTCTACCTGTTGAGCCTTCGATGGAGGAACTGGCCACTCAGGCGGGGGCAGGACCCGAAGTCCTGCGGTATCTTCGAGGTCGTGGCCTGACCTCTACTGGGGCTTTTGCGATGCTGGCTCAGAGTCAAGATCAGTTTGACGCGCAGATAGTCGCGCCTTTGTTGGCCGGATGGCAGCCGGATCCTGCCACGGATGCCATCACAGTTTCCGATGATGAGAAACCGATTGCTAGAGCAGTATTGCGTTTCATGTGGACTCTTGCCCGCGAGGCACGGGCGAGGGTCGCTGCAGCAGCCAACACACCATTGCACGCTCCGCCTGCCCAGACTGCTGTCACAGCCTTGACTTCTTCAGGTTCCAGCGATCCCGCCAAGGTCCCGAAGCATTTGCCACCGGGCGAGTGGCGAGCCATGATCGATCGGTACAATGCTGTCAAGGTGAACGGCGAGGCCCGTTCATTTCCTGAACAGGAGTTATTAGGGGCCGAATCGGTGGTTGCTCGTGTTCTGTACGAACACAGAACGAGCAAATTATATTCTCCGGTGGGATTGGGGGAAGTGCTGCAGCGACGGTCATTCCAGTCGAACGGCGAGGTCAATCCGCTGGCAAAGCGTGCTAGGACCAACAAGCTTTCGGTTGAGGACGGTGTTCTCAAGGAGGAAGCTGCCAATGATGATGATTGGGCTCCCCGCGGCTACCTGTCCTTGATGGACGGCCTCAACTCCATTCGCTGGCTCTACATCCTTTGCGAGGTTGGCTCGGAACAGTCCATCCATTCTTATTTCGATTGGATGATAAAGAAGTCTCGCATGCGCGGGGTTCAGGTGGAGCAGTTCAAGGTTTATTTCGAGAAGGTTTCATGGCGTGTGTGTGCCCAGCTTCGTGCCAATCGTACGAAGGAGGTCACATCATGAGCGATGTCACCGCCCTGCAGGAGTCTTTATTGCGGGAGCCGGCACCGACCCCTGCGAACAAGCGCAAGAACACCGGGCAGGATGAGGCGGCAGCTGATCCGTACAAGGGTTCCCCCACCAAGAGAGGCAAGGGTCGGGGATCCAAGGGCTTGTCGGGCAAAGGTGCATGGAAAGGAAAATGGCAGCATCAGGAAAGCTCGCGACCGTGGCAGACAGGTGGCGGCTGGAACGCTGAGGCACGCCATTAGGGACAGCACGGGCTTTCCCCCCGTGCCGCGGGGGTCAGACCCGACCGCTCTTTGGTTGCGGCACATTTCGGATCATCGCATGCTCCGTGGCGCCGAGGTCGCAGCCCCATCCCCAGCATGCAAGACGCACCTGGCGATTCTGTCGAGCCCGAGGCTGATGACATCTCCGGGTGTGCGGATGCCGACAGCGGCGGAGTGCCGTCCACATCCGAGCCTCCGCGCCACGAGATCCCGAGTGGCACCAGCGATACCGCGACATCTGCACCCGAGACTGCCTCGACTTCGACGCCATCTTTCTCCTTGGAGCTGCCGGCCTTGAAGCACGTCAAGGACTTAATAGTGTTGTCATTTTTCGATGGCATGGGCTCGGGCGCTTATGCTCTCCAGCAGCTCGGCATCCGCATCAGGGCACTCTTCACATGGGAAGTGGACACACCATCCAACCGCGTTTCCAAGTCTGTCTTCAAGGGCTTGAGGTTCGAGCGGGGGGACATCACGCAGGACGATGCGGCTACAGTGGCTGGCATGTTGCGGGACATGGATGCCGAGGGTGTTTCCCCTCTGCTCGTCTTAGCCGGGCCACCGTGCCCTGACTACTCTCGCGTTGCCAATGGCCTTGGACGTTCAGGGCCTACCGGACAGCTTTTTCAGGTGTTTACCGACTTCCTGGCCTCCCTCGAGCGCGAGCTCCCACAGCATCGTTTCCACATCCTCGTCGAGAACGTTGTGATGAATCGCCGTGAAGACGCGGACTTCTTCAGCAAGGCATTGAAGGCATCACCGTCATTGCTTTGTGCCTCGGATTTCGGGGTCATCAGCCGGCCTCGTCTTTTCTGGACTCGCCTGGACTTTGCACAAGTCAAGCAGAACCCGATCACTGGAAAGCCCATTCGGTGGGCCAAGCAGAACGGCTATCAACGATTGCACACAGACGCGCCAAAGGATGACATTGGCAAGATTCAGATGAAAGGTCTACGATTTCATGCCGACGTGCGGTCTGGTCGCAAATTGTTGCCGTGCCTCACCACTCCTGCGGGCTCCGATGCTGGACGTGAAGCTCCGAAGAGCCTCAAGGGCCCTCTAGAGCCATCCGTGAAGAAACGTTGGCTTGAGGCGAACAGGCAATATGCCCCGTGGCACTATGCCGACACCGCGATGGTCGTGGCCACTACCGGTGAGCAGACCACGTTGCCAGCTGAAATAAAGGAACAATGCCATCATTTTCATTCGGGCATCACTCGTTTGCAGAATATCTCTCCGCGTGATCGGCATCGCATGCTCGGCAATTCCTGGCACGTTGGCATCGTGAAGTTTCTGGTTTGGCTACTCCTGTCTCAGGTTACTCCAGTGCAATCCAGCCTTTGCGAGCAGGCCTTTGGAGCCGCGGGCATGATAGGTCGCATCATGCATCAGGCTACTTTGGAGCCCCTTTCGGTGAGTCGTGAACTCCCCACCTCGAGGTTTTTGGATCTCCCTCCATCCGATCAGGAGTGGGAACACTGGTTGGCGACTGCTGAGGTCCAACACCCCTTGCTCGCTCCTCCGAAGGTGTCGAAAGCCATTGAGATGGTTTACGAGCGACTGCATGCCATAGGTGATGACATCAATGCTTACCGTGCCTCTGTTTTGAAGTGCTTGGAAGCTTTCGTCCAAGAAAACAAGCCATCGTCCGATGAGTGGTATCATTCGTTGTCTTCTCACGTAAAAGCCGCTTATGCTGCGAAGAACTCCCCTGGCTATCTGCAGATCCCTGTTTTCATTTCTCTGCTCCGAGGTTGCAACTATCCCGAAGTGGACGTCTTGGAGGCGGAGCTCTCTCAGGGCATGCCCATGCTTGGGCGCATCCGCCCGACGAGCGGATGGTTGCCACGGACGGATGGCAAGTACAGTGCGCCCATCAGCCTTGAATCCTTTCGACGACTGAATGCAAATCATGTTCAGGAGCGGTTGCGCAAGCCTCGGATTGACGAAGAGTGGCAGGTCATGCTCGCTGAGGTTATGACTGAGGTCTCTGAGGGCCGCATGGAAGGCCCATTCGAGGCCCCCGCGTCTTGGTCCAGGCAGACAGTCGCAGTGGCAGGCTCGCCTGGTTTTCAGGCGCTTCTGCCTTTGCCGGATGCAGAGCCCTGCATCGCATGGGCCTTTTCTGTGGTGCAAGAAGGCTCAGATTGCAAGCGCAAGGTGCGCAGATGTGAAGACTACCGCCGGAGTTTTCACAATGATACTGTCGAAGCATTCGATACTCCACCTCATGACGACATATCTGTCTATGTGTCCATGATACGTCATTTGCGTTTTAGAGGTCGGCTGGCCGTCATTTGGGCGCAGGATTTGGAGTCGGCGTACCGCCAGTACCCTGTCGCAGAGCCGGCTCATTGCTACGTGGTTGTCATGACACCAGATGGCCCGACCCTGTGGCGGCATCGGGTCATGCCTTTCGGGGCTACTGCTAGCGTTTTTCATTTCAACAAGGTCACAGATGCCCTTTTGTGGTTGGCTAGGACATTGCTGCATGTGCCCGTGATTCATTACGTGGATGATCTGGGCAGCGTGGACCCAGTCGAGTCTGCTTCGTCTAGCTTTCGTACTTTCGACGATTTTTGCAATATATTGGGTTTTCGGTTGAAGCACTCCAAACGCCAACCCCCAGGAACCGAACAAAAGCTTCAAGGTGTGATCGTCAGAGTCGGTGAGTCTGGGGTGACCGTGTCTCCTTCCCCGAGCCGTGTTGCGAAACTGACACTTGCACTGCAGAAGGCTCTTAGCAACGACTTCTTGTCTGCTGACGAAGCTTCGAAACTCGCCAGGAAGCTCGGGTTCTTGGCGACGTCCTTGTGGGGACAGAGTGGCTCCTCTTTGCTCCGGCCTCTGTACGGTCGGGCGCAAGGCAGCAAGGACGGCGAGAACCATCTGAACTCGGGGCTTCGAGCATGCATGCAGTGTATATTGCATCTGCTGGCGTGCCCTGTGCCCAGGTTTTTGCCGTTCGCACAGGAAGCCGTGCCCACCACAGTCATGTACGCAGACGCCTTTTTCAAGCTTGGCGATGCCCGCTGGTCAGTTTCTTCAGACTCGCTTCCCACCAGGTGGCCCAGCAACATGCACCTGGCTGAGAATGGATGGGGTTTCGTTTGCAGATGCCCCGAAATCATCACAGCTGGACATGGACGAGTGCCTCCAAGCATATTGCGCCTTTTTGGTGCGCGCAGATCATTTATTTATTTTCTGGAAATTTTCTCACAAGCCATTTGTTTGCTCACGAACCATAAACGGATGACCCCTTTTTGGATATCTTTCTGTGACAATCGAGCCGGTTTGACGGCCCTTCAGAAGGGATACGGCCGCGACGAACACATCAACAGATTGCTTTCATGGTTTCATGCTCTCAGCAGTAGGTTGCGTTGGCATGGTCATTTTCAGTGGGTTTCTAGCGAGGCCAACATCTCTGACAAGGTCAGCCGAGGAGATTTGACCACGGTGCGGTCTCAGGGCTGGGCTTCTCTCCAGTCCGGGCTTGAACCCGTCTGGCCGATCATTGAGCGCATCGCGAGTGACTCCCTGTACGCTGTTGGCGAGGGCGTTGAGGCTGCGCTGGCTCTGGAGTGGCAGTTCGCTACCTCCACTTGAAGGGGCGGTGGCTGTGGAGCTGGCGACTTTCGGTGCCTGGTGGCTTCGCTCAGCTCTCGACAGCCAGTTGCTTCAGCCTGGTTTCTGCAACTTACAAGGCAGAGGGCGACAGGGAAAAGACAGTGAGCCGTCGCATCTTCTTCGTAACGACACTCGCAAGAACATGTCGTTGTTGTTGTTGTTGTTGTCGTTGTTGTTGTGGTAGTGGCAGTGGTAGTTAGTGGTCGTCCTAGTCGTAGTCGCACTAATATTCGTCGTCGTCGTCGTCGTAGTGGTAGTGGTAGTGGTTAGTAGTAGTGGTCGTGGTGGTAGTAGCATTCATCGGAGTAGGAGTAGAAATATGAGTAAGACAGTAGTAGCAGAAGCAGCAGTAGGAGTAGAAGCAAAAGCAGTAGTAGAATGTAGAAAGGTGGCGAGACATGAAAACAGTGCCGGCCTTGGGCCATGTTCGTGGCACTGGCGATAGGTCACAGACTGCCTGTTGTACTAATCTCAGTCGACTTGTGCGATCCTGAAAGAATTTCACGAGGTTTGCTGAGAGGCGTTGACGCTATTGGTGACATCACCATCACCACTATTGCTGGACTCAAGAATGTCCAGAGGGGTCTCTGCTTCGATTTTGACAAGGTGCAGCAGCAGGCCGAAAGATGCAGGCATTTTCATTCGCTTCAAGGGCCTTGTTGTTCGATCGCGTCCATCCTGCGACAGGCGTTTGACAGCGACGGTGAATGCTGGAAGGAATTCTGGCTGCCCCGTGAATCTCCGTCAAATCCACCTGAAGCCAAGTTCGATGCGTCCCGGCTTCTTTTGCAGGCTTTCAATTGTTGACGTGAGTGCTGCAGTGGAGATCTCCACGGAGTAAATTGCGACTACGTACCCAGACAATCGCTGTAAATCCGGGGCAGGATGACCAAATGCCCAACCGCATCAAGCCTTAAGACTTTGACAGACATTCTCAGATTCAGCTCTGCCCCCCCCAATGTATGTAAGTTGTAAGGCCCCGAGCATTGTGTGACTTTTGCGGGTGGTCGTATCAGCAATCTTGACACTGACTTCTTTGCTGTCACGGCTGTTCAGATTGAACTTACCTTTATATCAGTAGTAGAATAGCAGAAGAGTAGTAGCTTACGTACGTTACTGAACCACCAGACGTGTAGATGCTATGCCATTGTACAGACAGATAGCATCAGGTAGATAGATGGACAGATACATAGTCTCCGAAACCCGTACTTTTGAAATGTGCACGCACCGGTGCGTTCGGCAGAAGCGAGAGAGTGTGTCTGTGTGTGTGTGCCTGTAATGGGGCCCGCCAGAAAAAGCACGACATGGTCCGGCTTTGTTTTCCTGTGCGGTCGGGTCCTCGGCCCGCCAACATGTACGCCTGTTTTTGGTGACGGCGCCTGTACGCGCCCATGCGTTTTTGCAGGTTTCAGGGTTGGGGTGGGAGGGAGGGGGGTGGGGGGGGCGGGGGGGCATAATAGCTTCCGGCCGTCACATATCCTCTTGAGCCGGCCCTCAATCTAAGCCACAGGACATGCGAAACTCTTGCGCGACTTGGAACTACTGGCAAGGGGGGCCTGAGCAAAAGCGGCATTGATTCTCTAGCCTCAAGCCTCAACCCAATCCTGGACCCTGAGTCAAACCTAAGTCAAGTCAATACTTTAAACTCAGCCATACATCCTTCAAAACTCTCCCTAAAAACAGTTTTATTCTGCAGCCTCTTCAGAAATGAGCTTAAAACCCGAGCGAAAACGCAGTTAGGCCCAAAGTTTACTTCAGCCTCTAGTGTTTCGCGCACCTGCCTGAACAAGAATTCTATTTGAGATTGCGTATCCATGCAAAACGCCTCATTCTTAAATCTCTAAAAACGCATGGGCGCGTACAGGCGCCGTAACCCTGTTTTTCTTTGCATTCGCCAGCGGGATTTCGTTGTCAGCCCCAGCTGCTGCGAAAGGACAGGACCAGCGAAAAAGCTGGGCCACGGAAATACATAATCTCGTTGGCCGAAACATGCAAGGCAAAAACGGTTTCTAGACAGGTCGTTTTTTGTGCAGTCACGCCGCTCCTAGCACATGCCGTGTGCGCGTTCGCGCAACGTGCCCTATAGCCCAAAAGTGAATGCACAGCAAAAGACGGAAGTGAATGACCCAAGCGGAATGTACCGGGATTAAACCTTTTGGCCCATAGACTCAGACTCCGCTACCACATCCTACCACTGTTTGAGTCCCAGCCTAGGGGGTTTGCTCCAACACCGGCTCGGAGGGCTCGGAACGCTGGGAGAAAGCCCATTTGCCACTGGCTGCAGCCTACCGGGAGGACCTCATTTACACACTACAGGTTTGTGACTGCAATGTGCAATGCTCGAAGTGCCTGAACAGATGAACAAGTTTGGATGCATGTGTGCATTATTTATATATATATATATAAATAAAGACAGAGAGAGAGAGAGAGAGAGAGAGAGAGAGAGAGTCATAGAGAGACAGAGAGAGTCAGAGAGAGAGAGAGAGTAACTAGGATTGCAAACCAGAGTACATGCAAGTCTTTGAAGATACGCCTTGTGTGAGGGGGACCATTCTCCATGTTGTCTTTGCTAACCCCTCTAAAGGTGTACAACTCAATGCAGGCGTCCCAAGGATAGTACTGTGTGTTCAAACATCGGGGGATTTCTAGCGCTTAGTCTGTGGTTCATGTTATTCAATCTGTGAGACCCCGATGCTTGAACAGAAACTTTTCACATGCCCCCGAAAGCCCCATAACACGTGGGGGCCAATAGGCCGGGGGCTTTGACACACCCCCTATGCTCTCTCTGCATGCGCGGTTGTGTTTTTGTATTTGTATAGTATATAAGTATTTACGACTGCAGCCTGTTGTCTCTTTATTTTGCCTGTTGGTCGATATACAGAAAGATACAGCGGTCTACTGCCCCGCTCCTAGGCCATGTTGATGACTGGACTGACCAGACCATGTATGCAGAATCTTCAATCCCATTGCAACCCCCTTTCTCCAATCCTCATACTTTTCTATATCAGCCGGCAGATACTTGTCGTTTTGGCCCGCTCAGTCGCGGTTTGCCATCTCCAGCAAATTTCAGACCGATTTCTCGCACGTCTTGACAATCTTGCAAGCATTAGACGACAGTCTCTGCAATCCAAGCAGCAATGTTTGCGCGCGTGCACGTGCACCACCGAAGATGCTCCCTCAGACTTACTTCCAAATTTGCCACCTCTGTCTCCTTCCCATTCCCATCAAGCTGCAGTGTTGAGGCATTGAGTTCCTTCGCTGGGACCATATACATATATACGTATATACGTATCTACGTATGTATGTATGTATGTATGTATGTATGTACACCAACAACAACCCTGAAACTACTGTTGTGGAACAACTAAATGAAAATTTCAAGACAAGTTCCGAAGCTTTGCCTAGCAAGCAGCCCGACCAGAAAACGCCCTACTTATCCCAACAGACATGGAAAATTGCTTGAGCGTAACTGGGAGGCAATTGAGTCTGGAGATGACGACACGGCAAACCAGCTTAGTCAAGAAACCAAGGAAAGAGTTAAGAAAGACAAGGACAAATGCATCAACCTCACTGCTAATCAAAGTGTTACGTCAGTCGGTTCGCTCCAGAAGGCCCAGCTGCAGGGAGACTGGTTCCGCGACAAAAACCAGCTACCTATCTAGGGACTCTTCTGTCAGACACATTTGATGACAAAGCCGACGTTGCAATTGGACCTGGCGATTGCATCGGAACATGCAACGTACGGGGCTGTTTTGGAACAAAGCAAACACTTCTATAACGTCGAAGATACAAGTATTCAACTCAATAGTTCGCAGGAAGCTTCTATATAGTTTAGAATGTATACGATTAACAACATCAAAATATCCAACCTTAATGGTTTCCAAAACAAAATGCTTCTCAAGATTCTTGGCAAGCCATCAACGTTCGCAGACAGAGAAGAGACGAATTCCAAATGTACGAAGAAATCCAGCGTGATCATCATTGCAAGATCGAGGTTTTTTGGCCATGTCCTTCGGTCCAGCCCGGCAGATCCGCTAAATCAATTGGTTTTTGCTCCTGGTAAGCTAGTGCCCCGGCCTGTAATCAAAACAAGAGTTGGCAGACCCCGAAGCGGTTGGCTTACCGAAACCTGCACTGATGCATATCGGTTCTTGCATGGGCTCCATGCAGTCTTCGACATGAAAAACAACAATCATCTACAATATGTTGTGAATACAGCAAAACAGAGGCTACCTCCGTTTGCATAAAGGTTGGCTTTGCCAAAAGGCTTTGCACCTTCTCCTGGTATTGCTCTTGGTAATGTCACTTCAGAGTCATGTTGGTGCGGTTGCGCTGTTTTTAAGATCCGATCTCCTGCCTATTGAGTAGTCCTCATGTTCGGGGGAAAGCACAATATGTGCTGTGGTCGGGAGCCCAGTCACGCTCATCTGACATGTATGTATGCATGTATATGGGCTGCTCATTTCCAGGCATAAACATGATTGGAGGTTGATTTCTGGTGTAATGCATGAGAGATTCAGGGGACACCGTAGATTGAAAGCGGATGACGATGATGATGATGATGATGATAATGATGATGATGATGATGAGGAGGAATTTTGTACTGCTCAGAGTTGAAGATCCGGAGCTTTGATTCGTATTGTCAGTTGTTCCACTCCAGTGCTCCAACCCCCCCTACCAAAGAAGCGAGAGTTACAGTGCAGACAGCAGGTTTGGCTCCTTGCTCCGGCAGGACTTCCTGAAGTTGGATTTGCCCACTGCGATTTCTACTGGTCGCTCAGCTTTTTGGCTGGGACTGAGGAAGTTAAGAGTCCTGGCAGACTCCCACTTGAGCATGCGCTTTTGCTGACATGCGCTGGTCTCACTCACCGGCTCGTGTGCTGCAGAGCTACAGTTCACCTGCCGCAGCTGGAGTAGCCACGCAATGAGCCCACGGGGATGGCTTAATCAAGGAACAATGTTGCCGATTCAGGTACCGCACCTCTCCTGGTCCTCCATGGTGACCGCGACCGCAGCGTACCACTGGAGAATGGTCAGGCATGGGTCGCTGCAAGCCTGTCATATGAGCTGAAAACAACTTGTCCGGCAACTGGCATCTAAGAGGCCCGCAGCGTGGAAGCACAGATAGTGGAGTGGCAGAAGAGGTCTTTTGGCCAGGTAGTTGCAGCTCTCTGGTAGTTGGTCCGTATCTCTCTCTCGTGGCTCTAGTGTGGTTTGGGTTTGTCTTGCTCCAGCACTAATCGTCGAACATTGAGCTGATGAATCCTAGGTTTTCCAGTCGTCATTGTGTTTGTTGTGCTTGTTTTTTTCGAGTACTAGTGCGAGAATAGTCAGTGATCGTGGTTGCTGGAGGAGTCCTTCCTACTGCCGTTGCTGTCATGATATGGTCTTGGATATACCTGTTCCTGTTGCTGCTGCTTCCGCTGCCGCTGCCGCTGCCGCTGCCGCCGCTGCCGCTGCCGCCGCTGCCGCTGCCGCTGCCGCCGCTGCCGCTGCCGCCGCCGCCGCCGCTGCTGCGGCTGCTGGTGTTGGTGTTGGTGTTGGTGTTGTTGTTGTTGTTGTTGCTGGTGGTGCTCGTGGTGGTGGTGGTGCTGGTGGTGCTGGTGCTGCTGGTGCTGCTGCTGCTGCTGCTGCTGCTGGTGCTGGTGGGGGCGGCGGCGGCGGCGGCGGCGGCGGCGGCGGCGGCGGTGGTGGTGGTGGTGGTGCCAATGGTGGTAGTGCTGTTGGTGTTTGTGCTTGTACGGAGTGGGTTGACCCGTACAATGTGCAGCCGTTAACTATTTAACAACAGGGAAGGGCGGGCTCTCGGAAAAGCATTGCTGGAAATATTGTGATGGTTAACTTTTAAAGTAGCCAACTACCAGTCTTATTGTTTGCACGCTGTCCAAGAAACACCTGCGGTTGACTTTCCGAATAGGCACACTTCTAATGTCTGCAAACTGCCGAACCAGAAGAGCAAACTTGTCCCGGTGACCGACAGTGCTGCAGCCGCGCAGCACGAAGGCAGCAAGGAATACCAAATGGTCAACCATTGGAGAAGGAGTTCAACCGCAGTGTGACTGGTTGAGATTAGCAGGCCCCTCCTCAGGAGCTCGCTTGTTCCTGTTGTTGTTGGTGGTTGCGGTATTGATGTTAGCGTTGATGTTAAGTGTTAATGTTGATGTTGGGATTGGTGTGGTTGTCATCGTTGTCGTCGTCGTTCTCGTTGTCGTCGTTGTCATCGCCGTGTTTGTGATTGTGGTTCTGGTTCTGGCTGTAGTTGTTGATGGAGGTGTTGGCGCTGGTGTTGGTGCTATTGTTGGTGTGGATGTTGATGTTGATGATTATGCCGATGTTGATGTTATTCTTCTTCTTCTTCTTCTCATTGTTGCTGTTGCTATTGCCGTTGCGGTCGCTGTTGCTGCCACTGTCGCTCTTGCTGCTGCTGTTGGTGTTGTTGGTGTTGTTGCCGTTGTAGTTTTCATTCAAGGGTTCAAGTTTCTTGCCACCCTAAACCCTAAACCCTAACTAAACCCTAAACCCTAAACCCACTGTTTAGGTTCTGCCGTCGCTCCGTTCGGTCTTCGCCGCGCCTTCGCCTTCGGATCCTGGGCCGCGGAAGGTGCAGGGTCATGTTCCCCTGATAGCTGATACTACCTAGAGTCTCCATTGTAGTTCCTTTTTGGGGGTTACCTTTTAGGATCCTTAATATAAAAATTGGTTAAGCCAAAACAAGGAACTACAATGGAGACTACAGTGACGGCGTTGGATAAGAAACTCTTGTATCCGAGGCAGGGTACCCTGAATTTCTTATTTAGATAGCGCTCGGTTCAGGGTCATAAGTGATACCCGCCAGGTTTAGGGTACCCTGAATTTCTGATCGGAGTCGTACTGTGCGCCTCTGACTCTGACGCCGTCCAGGGCTCAACATGGACGAATGCGAAACT